TGACCCTAGAATTATGTGCCCAACAAAATTGTCTTTCAAAAATGAGGGCAAAATATTTTCAGAAAAATAAAAAGATGAGAGTTTTCCATCAACCTATACCAAAAGAACATTTAAAGGGGTTAGAGAAAAGGGAAAATGACCCCAAAATGTTAGAAATGCAAAACAGACCAATGAATAAAGAATATAGTAAACATGGGCAAATCTAAACTATCATTGACTACAAGAATATTACAATAATAATAATGCATAATTTGTAAAACTAAACAAAGATAATAATTCATAATTTGTAAGAATAAAAGGCTGAGATGAAAATATTGGACAATTATAGGTATATAAACTGAGAACAGGGTAATCAGAATTAAAGTATTGTAGGGCTTTGTATGTACAAAAGAATTCTGATTAACTTTAGACTTTTAAGTTAATATGCATGTTCAAATCTTAAGGAAATCACTAAAAGAATAGCAAGAGAAGACATAACTTTCACACAAGTTGGAGGTAAAAAGTAAAATGCAAAAGCAATTAATCAAATAATCAAATGTAATCAAATCAAAAGAATACAATAAAAAGGGGGAAGAAGAGAAGTGATAAAAAAGGAGAACGAAAAGAAATTTTAAAAATAAGATGGTAGAAATACATCAAACTATATTATAATTAGAATAAATGTAAAGTATATGAAGCAATGAGAACTCTTGCATAAGACTAGTAGGAATGACACTTGAGAAAACTAATTTAGAAAACAATGAACTAATCGAACAATTAGTTTTTCAGCATATACTATGAGCCAAGCCTTTTACTTGGAGCTGGAAATACAGAAGCAAAAATTTTAGCAATACCTCAAGTAAACTGAAAATAAACTCTTTGATCTCACAGTATTTAAAATAAGTCAAAATTTTTAAAACGTACAGAAATGACAAACTCAAAATCTCCCCTTTTGGGGAGAGGTACACATTAGCAACATCAAAGGTTCTGATTCTTAAGTTGGGTGGTGAGTAAATGTGTATTTATTATTCTTTGAATTGTATGTGTATAATATATACATTCTTGTATATGTTTAATATTTTCATGTAAAGAAATAAAAAATAAAAATAATTTTATAAAAAGAGCAAATAAACTGTCTATCATGGAAGGTGCTCAATATATGGTAATTTTTACATTATGTAATAATAAAGTTACACAATGCAATTAACTACAGTGTACATTAATCTAGAGCTAAGCTTAGTAGTAAATGTTTTGTTGAAAGCAAAATTCACTTTAGATGAATACCACATGTCACGTCAGGTAAGCTCTTAAGTTTTAGTTGGAAGCAACATTTTTCATCAAAAAGTAGGTTTCATATGTAAGCAGAGTATATATAGGGAAAAAAGTAAAATAAAAATTGGTTCCAATAATTTATTAAACGACTAAGGTCATCTTTTAACCTGAAGCAAAAATAAGTTTGTTAATTAGACAAATAAATGTCCTGAAGTTTTTCTAATGTCTAAATGATGAATTTAAAAAATTACTTTATTACAGTATTAGTCACACATCTTTTAACCTAATACAAAGAACATTTCATTAACTATAATGAGACATTGAGTATGCCATTGCTCACTAAAGTTTTCTTGAAATGTTACAGAAATGGCAAGAGGTAAAAGCAAATATCAGTGAAATGGCATCCGTATCCCAAAGCATCTTCCAGAGGTATAAATATACAGATAGTGCAGAGGTATGATATTTCAATTTCAAGTCAAGCAAGAAATTATATCCCGATCTGCTAAGTTTATAATACATATTTATAAGATTAATATTAAGCTCAAACAAGACGTATACTACTCATAGAAATACTTTGAAGAAACATATCACTACAAATAACTATGCTGGAATAACATCAAAATATCTGTATATTAAATCATTCTCAGAGTATTCATAGAAAGAGGCAAATGTAAATCCATTTTACAGACAAGGAATTAATAAATAACTAGTTCAGTGTTATAGATCACTTTCTAGTATATCTTTGTTATAAATTTCTCTACTTAAACCAATAAAATATAAAAGACTTCATGACAATGCCACATATATACATATGTCTGAACATAAACATGTTTGCATGTGTATATAAACATGACATTGTCTTGACAGGTAATTACCTTAATCAAATTCTAACCTCTCTGCCTTCCTTAAAAATTGTACTGAGTAGGCTAATTACTGAATAAATTCATAATTAGTAAACATGCTTTCCTTGTGAAATTTCATTAGAACACCAATTTTCATGCTGCCACATGTAATGTGTATAGAAGATAGAAAAATATGTATTATTTTAAATACCTGATCACATTGGCTTTACTTATTACTGAATAGGAATATGTTAAAATGTAATGGACAATAAAGTTGAATCTGTCTACAAAATAGCAACCAAAAGAGAAGAACCTAAACCTTTTTCAAACTGAAGTGATACTGATATTATGACATTAATATGTAACTGCAAAACAAGAAAAGTAGCTTAAGAAAAAATTTGGGTGGATAGATGCTAACATAGATTTTAGGAAAAAAGTTATTCAGAGAAATATAGTTTCAAACTCTGAAAACAAAGAATGCTCTACTAAATAAAATTAACAAGTCTATCTTGATTAAGAGCAGAAAGGTTGAATTTATATCAAATGTTAGTTTCTTTGATGTAAATCTGCCATTTTACTTTTCCAAAAAAAAATTTTGTTTAGGCTTAAAGGGGAACCAAAAACTGGAATTCTGATTTAATGGCCAAGCAACTCATATTTCTCAGAATCAATACAAATTTAGATTTCCATACCTCTAAGAATATTAATCAGATTAAAAATAATATTATGTGCTAGAAAAATTTAAACCAAGTAAAATAACAAAGTCTTCCAGGTAAAGCAGTTAGCTGGATAAATTTCTCCTTATCCAGAGGACTGGTATTAAATCTTGGATGTTCAGAAATGTATATTAAATCAACATCATTGAATAATTATTCATTTTTAGATATGTAATAGTCATGCTTTTAAATCTCAAACACTCTATTTTTGAAAATGTTACTATTAACTGATTGCAGATTACACATTAGCCAGAACTTATATTTTAGCCACAAACAGAAGCACACGTTACAAAAGATACTCAGGATTTTGAAACTATAAGGGAGACATCTCAAGTATCTAATTAATTGGAAAACTTTATTGAGTACAAACCAGCTATTTAAACATTAGTAGGTAACTACAGGGGCCGTGTCTGTGGTGAAGACACTTATAATTTCATTGATAAAACAAGATAATAGAAAAGATTACAGGGCACCAAAATTGTGAAGGTAAGTGCTACTAATGTGCAAAAGAAGGCAATATTGGTCCGAACTGTAATAGCAAAGTCTCAGTGAAGGAGATGGAATTGAATGACAAAGTCCAGGACATGCTGCCTCAAAGTATGGCACTTTGGTGTTTGAGAAAACAGCAGAAGAGGCCAGTAATTCCAGCACTTTGGGAAGCCAAAGCAGGCAGATCACGAGGTCAGGAGTTCAAGATCAGACTGACCAACATGGTGAAACCCCATCTCTACTAAAAATACAAAAAGTAGCCAGGCACAGTGGTGTGTGTCTGTAATCCCAGCTACTCAGAAGGCTGAGGTAGGAAAATGGCTTGAATCCGGGAGGCGGAGGTCGCAGCGAGCTGAGATTGCGCCACTGCACTCCATCCTGGGGCAACAGATTGAGACTCAGTCTCAAAAAAAAAAAAAAAAAAAAAGAAGCAGGAAGTTCTTTCTTACCTTATGTCACCTTTTCTCCCCTGAAGTGGGCCATAAAACCCAGCTGATCCTCCCCTAAAAGTAGACTAAAAGACCCTCATTCCAGAGAGGTCCTCCCCACATCCCAGGGAAAGAAAGTATCTTCAACTCTGAAGACACAGAGATGTTAAGAATCTGAACAAACAGGCCTTGCTATGCTCCCCACAGTTTATTACCATTAGATTATACACTTTTGCGCTCCAATTATACTTCTGTATGACCATCCATAAAAATACACTTTTCCCAGTTTCTTTGGGTTTTCATTTCTGAAGGCTCTCATGTCATGTAAAACATACATTAAATAAATCTGCATGTTACTTTCTTGTTAATCTTTCTTTTGTTATAGGTGTCTTAGCCATGAATCTACCGATGAGTGAGAAATCTTTTCTACCCTATGTAAGTTAGAATTTAGATAAAATTCAAACTGGCAGTGAGAAAGGACTATCATAGGACCAAGCAAAGATATGGATATGGGAGTAAACAGATTCTGTGCTTTATTTTAGCTATGCATTTTTATACTCTTCCTAAAATGTAACAACGCTTTATCTTCAAAAACTGATAGGAAGGTAGAGGTTGTGGACTTTTCAGCAGTATATTCATTTCACATAAAAAAAAAATGTGGCACATTTTTCCTTTCAGATCCCTGGTTACCTGATAAGAAATACTTTCGAGTGCTTTTCTGCCTTTAATTTTTCTTTTTAAATCATCTTAAATTTCTTTTACATGAGAGTCCCAATGTTCCACTTTCCCCAGGACTACTTTTAGTGCTTTAGTATATTGCTACCATCTCTCTATATTTAGTAGACACTGGACTATTTTGTCCTTTAAAATGTTGTTTCCCTCTACCTTAAAAAATTTGAATAATGGACTATTATTGATTCACTTATTGCCATTTTCTATGAAGCCTCATATACTTTGCCATAATTTGTTACATCTTTCTACTGATTCTAGATTATAAAAATCTTATTTGTCTTATTCTCAGAGGAGGAAACTGTTTGATCCAAATGTCAATTTAGTTATAAAAGATTTTATTTCCATTTTGTACTAGTGAACCACCATGAACTACCAAATTCAAATGTGAATTAAATAATTTAAATCTGACCTGCCATTTGTTTAATTGTAAATAAGTAACTTCAAGAAACTAATAACTCCAGTACTTTATTCTCTCAAAGAAGGAGAGTGCTTCTTTCCTGTTTTTGTCTTATGGAAGAAAAATGAAAATTTAGAGGATTTACCATTTCCAGTTTCTCTGCCTTAAGGCGAACAGAGGGATTTAGGGAGAGCTTTTCTTGTAGTCCGTAATTTTCAGTCCAGGCAGAAGCAACATCTAAGAGACAACAGGTTGTACATTAATTGGGAACTTAATTGGAATCAAAATTTTCATTTGACAGGATATGTTCTGGGTTCCTGCTGTTCAAAAATAATTCTAGCTAATTGGTTGGCGGCTTTTCGTTTTCTTTTCATAATTTTTTTTTTTTTTTTTTTTTTTTTTGAGACAGAGTCTCACTCTGTCACCCAGGCTGGAGTGTAGGGGCATGATCTGGGCTTACCGTCTGCCTCCCGGGTTCAAGCAATTCTCCTGCCTCAGCCTCTCAGGTAGCTGGGATGACAGGCCCATGCCACCATGCCTGGTTAATTTTTATATTTTTAGTAGAGACAGGGTTTCACTGTGTTGGCCAGGTTGGTCTCAAACTCCTGACCTCAGGTGATCCGCCCACCTTGGCCTCCCAAAGTGCCAGGATTACAGAAGTGAGCCACTGCGCCCGGCCAGTTTTCATAATTTTTTTAAGTCCAATTTTTTTTAGATAGACTGGCTTCACTTAAATTCTAAGATGTAAGAGTGGCCAATTATGCATTGTGAAGTCCCACAGAAATATTAACTTAAAAGACAAACATACATCCTACCACTACTACATCACCACAATGCCTTAAAGAGACAAAAAGTATTTTTGTTCAAAAACAGTAAAATCATATTAGATATTTTAAAAGAGCATGGTATTTTTTTGACTGGTAAAAGTGTTTTGTGATGTGAATTCTGAAAGTACTCTGGAAAAACCCAAAAATGCAAGTCATTTCAAGTTTGCACATAAAGTATAATATACATTCTGTACTTGGAGCTAACATCTTATCTCTAAAAGACAGGTCACATTTCAAGTAGCATAAATGAATTTGCAAGAGCTAAAAGTCATACACTTTTTACCCATTTTTCCTACATCTTCTCAATATATCCTTATTATTTAAACGAGCCTTTGTCCTTATTGCATGATTTTAAAAGATGCTACAAAAGACCAGAACTTGAAATACTGTATCAAAGTTTGTAAAACAAATTCCTATAATTCATGTTGATCTTACTATCCAAATTGCCACTATTCTAAATACACTTTTAAATGATATTTTACTAGTTCTACATAGAAACAAGAGGAAGAAGAAAAATCTTTTGAAAATGTCACATCTTTATGCAGTGTTTTAATTTTTTAAAATTTCTCAGAGCATCTGTCTCTAAGTACAAAATGATTTGCATTCTCTTAAGAACATAAGAAGTGCATATGAAAATAAATAGTCTTCCTCTAAACCTTTAACACATCCTTAACATTCTATGTAAAATCTTTAATATAGCTTATAGGTGTCAAGATCATAAAAAATGGTTGCTGACTTTTAGTTTCAAATGGAATTAAACTTTGAAAAAGACTAATTTTAGTATTTTACAATTCTGATAAAAGTAAATCTCCTTTGTAATCATGATGCCTAATTGTTGGCTATGAGATTAAAAATAATATATACATGGTATATATATATACACAAACATACACATATACATATATACACATATATGGGTATGTGTATATATTCCACACATATATGTAATTCTATATATACATATATGTGTATATATGTATATGTGTGTATGTGTGGGTATATATGTGAGTGTGTATGTATGGGTATATATGTGTGTGTATATGTAGAAGTATATATATATATACATATACACACACATATAATTTTTGTTTCTCTCCTAAGAGAAATTCTGTGCCAAACCTAAAGTGTAGCATAAAGATCAGCATGGAGTAGAATGATATGGAAGACCAACCAGCAGATAACTACTTTTCATCCTTTAAGGTTTGGACATGTGAAGCTTGCCAATGACTTCCAGCTTGGTGCTTGGTCTGCAATTAAGGCACATTAACACCAGGTGGCCCCAAGTGAACCTTGTTATGATCTCCAAGACTAAACCTGGGCTTGAATTATTCAAGTGTTAAGTGTTTAGAAGGGTTGCAGTGGGGAGAACAAGTGGGGGAGAGAGGAATGAGAGAAGGTGAGACAGGAGCACTTACAATATCAACACACTGAGAAATGTGTTCTCACTTACATTTTCCTACATCTAAGCGTTAAAATTTGCTATATCTAACACTGAAAATAACAGAAACTCCTACTTATGCTTACTTCTATCTAAACAGTAAACTATGTACCTATATAAGCTTATTAATCTTCACAATGACCACAGTGACATAGGGGTTATTACTCCCATCCCAAAATAAAAGAGCAAGGCCAGAAAAGGTAAAGAAATTAGCCCAGGCCACATAGCTAGTACATGACAATGTTAGGAGTCCAATCTCTTGTGACACCAGACCAATGTTCTTAAATGTGTTCAACATCTTTCATAATCAGTTTGTCCATCTGTAAATTAGGGGGAATAAACCAGACTGCCTTATAGGAGTTAAAAGGCCAACAATATAATAGAAAACTGCTGTGAAAACTTATAAAGTATTGTTAACATTAACACAGAGATACTCTATTATAAGGAGAGTTAATGTAAAATTATACTAACCTTCATTTAACAATATGCAGTCAGGGCTTAACAAAATCTTGTTTTTTCCAGACAACTTACACCTTTACTTTTGAGTTAAAATCTTAAGAGGGTCTGTGTATAATTCCAGCATACTTTGCCAATTCAGAGTAGCTTTACCTGAAAGCCCCTTCATAGACAGTTTTCCTCATCTGCCAATGATATCTCTTTATCCCAGCCCTAAGATCTTTATTTGTTCCTCTCTGGGGAAGTTAGTTTTTCTAAGTATGGCCTATTATTCTCTTGGCTCTCCCTCCTTCTTGCCTCCTCCTCCTTTCCTTCCCCCTCCCCCCTCTCCCCTCCTCTCCCTTCCACTTCTTTCAAGATTTGGATAATGTCTGACTTTTGCCAAGAAATTTTTCTTAATTAATTTTTGCATATTGTGACAGATTCCTTATTATATACTAGTTTTTGGGATCAAGGGGAGGACATAAAATTGAATCAAGAATTCAAGCTTTTCCTTTTGCTCTATAAATATGACCTAGAATATTATCTGAGCTATACTCTAGGCTATAGCTTCTATATTATTAGTAACAGAAAAATTTAGTAAGCATATATATGCACTAATTACAAAGTAAGTGCTTGACATGCATGATCTTGTTTAATCCTCATAACAACTCCATGTAACTTGTAACTAATTCAAGGTTACAGAGCTAATAAGATAAAAGCAAGAACTTGAACACTGAGTCTGCCTTCAGAGCCTGGTGGTAACCACCACTGTGTCTTTTTTATACCATACTCATATCACTCACTACTTCTTTCCTTAGGTCTCTTTGTTCATATCTTTACATAATTTGTGTAAATGTGTTATTCATTCACAAGAAAGAATGCTTTTTAGAGTAACAAAACCACCCACTCCTGCTCTGATTAACACAGAAAACTGCAAATAGTGGCTACTTGATAAAATAAACACACACATACACATCTATAAACAAATACATGCATATATATTTGGATGTTTTCTAATTTGAATAACTGGAATTTTTAACCCCATGTTTTATTTCACAATATACTATTGTCTCACAGAAAATATCCTAATTCCTTCATAATTCCCATTGTACTGTATTCTTCCATATAACATAGTAAATCCTTACTGAATAAATGGTTAAAAGAGGCATTGAGTAGTTCAATTACTTTAAAAATTAAAAAAAGTTATAAAGTATTAATATTGTATAATATAATCAAGGAATAAAGGATTCTGACTTCCATCATCTAGCAACTTTGATCCTCATCTCATGACTGTTGGTTTCATTCGTCTATCTTTTTCTTCCCATATGGGTTCCCAGTTTAAAATAAAAACAGTATAACAAGAGACTGGAAATTAATTATGTAAGAGGAATAATGCTAATAAAGTTTCCAAGGGTCGATAAATCTCACTTAGTAAAAGGGACTATAACTCATGGCTGAAGAATGGTATTAACCTAGTGATAAATACCACCCCAAATTGGAGCAAACTACTATGGAATATAGTATAAACTCCTGTAAAGATTATTAGCTATTTAATTTAAATTAATGCTTCCTTATTTTTCAGTTCTTATATCAATAATGTTATTAAAACAAAATTAAAATATATAGGTAAAAATTTGCATTATAATTAGGCATATCTAATTAGTTTTTCAGTTATCTTTAATCTTTTTTTCATTGTTGTGTTTTACTTTCGGAAATAATTTCGGGAGACTTTTTCCTGATATCAAGCCTGCAATCCTAATAAAAATCCTTATTTTACGTTTGGCTTACATAATCAATGCTTTTATTGTTTTAAAAAGTCAGTAAATCATTTTATGGTAATTAAGAATCAGTAATAATGAACTCACAATACTGATATTCTTTCTAATTTATATCCATATGATGTCTTCCAAAAAAACAAGATACATTTCTTTTCTTAAGGTACGCTCCCTTCTACAATGTGTTTTCTGAAAAGTGTATTTAATATACCTCATCAGTATTGCACTCAAAGGATGTGGCAACCTAATCTTGATCTTAGAGAAGACTTCTCATTATTTCACTTAAACAATTCATTATTATAGCTTCATAAACACTATTATGACAATGCATCTTTTGAAATTTCAACTCTTTGTTCAGGGAAATTTCCAATAAAAGTCATACTTTCACAGGGACCAATGGAAAATATATTATTTTTACTTTTTCATTCATTGAAGGAACAAAGACATAATGCACCCTTCTTCAAAGTCTTATTAAGTCACATCCGTATTCCTCATTGAGAGAGAATTGAAAAAAATAACAGGAAAGAGAAATTAAATGTGTATTTACCTGTATTAGACAAACCCACAGTACTGTTTTCTGAAGAAGTAATTGGAATCTGTTCTGTTTTGTTGTATCCAGTTTCTATCTGTGAAAGAAAATGAGGAATACACAATGTTATTTACTAAAATAGGTCACCTGAAGCACGTGTTAAAAAGAATGGTTAAAGAGATTAAGGTAATAGTCCCTCAAATATGAAACTATAAAATTTTGGTATATGCATCTTCGAACAAAGTCATTCAAAATTAAAGGTAACAATTGCTTGCAGCTCTTCCAAATCCAAGGATAACAAAATATAAGGCCACACATCCTGTCTTTTCAAAGTATTATAGCTCCAAATGACAAAGTATAAGGGGCTGACAGAAAATCTTACACTCTGTCTCTGTTTAGCATGTACCTGAAACTGAAGTTACCGTTGACAAATTTTATTCAACTGACTAAAAGCCTGATTTTCCTATTTTACAGCTAACACAGATATAAATAATATATACTTTATTCTATAACTGTAATTTTTTAGGACAATATAGCTGTTAGTAATCGAGTGTGTTAATTCTGATATAAAAATTCCCCATTTTGTGTGATTCTGCTTGGGGGAACTATAGCATACACACATGAAGGAGCAATATCTTTCTAGAGTGGATGCCTGGGATTAGCCTCACTGTGTGGGAAAGAGGCTAAGGAACAACAAAGAAGATAGCCTGACTTCAGTCAAGCAGAGAACAGAAATGGCAAATAACTAAACCAACTGAAACTAAATATGACATTGTTAACATAGTTTTGAGTGATATCTAGGCAAGTCTTTGTGGAACCATTTTGTCATGCCAGTATTGTCTAACAAGTCATGCTTCTGGACACAGGACATGCTGATTTAAAATATGTGTACTGAATATACAGCATAAAAAATAGTAAAGAAGAAAATATCTTTCAAAGAAGTATTAATTTGCTAACAATTTTACTGAAATAACAATTCTATATGTACTTACCCAATGCAAAACTATATGGGGGATTTATGGAGTGTATATGTAGAGAAATTTAAGATTACATGACTTACCTTACAAGAAGGTAAAATGGCATTGTTAGTTTTGGGAGTGGATGAGGTCTTTGGGGTTAGTAATTCAGGAGGAGACGAAAAAAGACTAAATGCTGAGGCTTGAGGTCTATATTCTCCTGAAGCTTCTACAAGTGATGTACATGACAGATTTTCTGGTTGACTGTTGTCGGATTTTTGTCTTATGAATGCTATCTCCCAAGCAGATTCTGACCTAATATTAAAAAGAAATCATTTTATGGATATGCTATGAATACACTACAACTGAATTCCAAGATAATGTTTTAAATGTTATTAAAAATATTTCTTATAATCTAAAGCACTTAATACATCTTAAATTACTACTTTCAAGAAGACATCCTAAATGACTCATTCTATCTCATGGATAGTATAGTTACCTCAACTTGGCTCTGGTAATTATGCTTTTTGCTTCTTCGAATGATACACCAATCATAGATTCCTTGTTGACTGAGACAAGTTGATCTCCTGGCTTCAAACGACCATCCTAACAAAAACAGTAACATTTATAAAGGAACTAATGAGGTATTTAAAAAAATAATAATTGATGCAATTAAAGCAACGAAAAGTTTTTGTGAAGAAAGAATAAAAACAAAAATATTAGACAACCTCAGAGGCAAAATGTTATGATTAAAGTTTGGCTCGGTAATATACATAAGTAAAATGGCATGGTTTATGTATTCCATGAATAAATTTACATGCTAAATAATTTTGAATATGGTAGGACATAGGCTAGTATACCGGGGGGACCTATTTTAAAAACTGAGCACTATGGGCTGATAAAGCTCTGACTCTGTCATAAAGTGGGCCAAATAACTGTGAGATATTTCAGAATGTAAAACTCATTTACTTTAGTTTCTCTGCATTCCTACACATATTTCCTCTTACCAGACTGTTCAATGTGGACTCATCCCACATTGAGATTTTTTTTTTTTTTGAGACGGAGTTTCACTCATGTTACCCAGGCTGGAGTGCAATGGCGCGGTCTCGGCTCACCGCAACCTCCGCCTCCTGGGTTCAGGCAATTCTCCTGCCTCAGCCTCCTGAGTAGCTGGGATTACAGGCACGCACCACCATGCCCAGCTCATTTTTTGTATTTTTAGTAGAGACGGGGTTTCACCATGTTCAGGATGGTCTCGATCTCTTGACCTCGTGATCCACCCGCCTCGGCCTCCCAAAGTGCTGGGATTACAGGCTTGAGCCACCGCGCCCGGCCTCACATTGAGATTTTTAAAACTTTAGTCAAGGATCTTTCTTAAAAAATTTTTTTAAATTTTCAAAATTTTGCATAGACATGAGGTCTCATTATATTGCCCAGGCTGGTCTCAAACTCCCAGGCTCAAGCCATCCGCCCACCTCAGTATCCCAAACTGCAGGGATTACAGGCGTGAGCGACTGTGCCCAGGCAAGGATTTTAATTACATTGATCCTACTCATATTTCAGCTCATGATCATCTTTTTTTGCTAGACCTGCTATCCTCCATGACGAAGGCCTAGTTGGCGGTGCGTATATTGTTATCCATGTCCTGCTAAAAATGACAATTCTAACTGGCTGCCTGGTGTTGCCTTTACTAAGGCCCAGCTTGCTCATAACTAGCCTAACTGAATAAGACAGAGTATATCAAGGGCAGCAGTTAATGTAGTTGGTAAGTAAGTTTCCCAATTTTTGTCTTTTCTTTTAATTCAAACTAGAAAATAAAAATAAGCTTCCTTCTTTTACAGTTCCTAAGGTATTTCCCTATTTATCATTAGTACAGTGGTAGAAAGCATTATTTTTATAACTATAGAAAAAGCTTATACGGTTGAAAAGGTAGATTTTCACCTTGATGGTACTCAAGCAATTTTCACAAATTCAAAAAAACATCTTTCCTTAAAGTCTTATCTACTAAAATACATCCCTTGGATATTGATGTTTGACCTAAACTGTATTATTTATAATAATGATGATTCACAGTTATTTTACTCTTAAATTACAATAGGTATTGTTATTTTTAAAAAGATTATTTTACTGACTAAAGAATACATAGGAAAATAACAAAATTAACATAAAACATTCATCAAAGGATTTTATAGAAATATATCTCAACTACTGTGTAAAAGATAATATAATCCAGATGCATAACGACCCTATTCTACTGAAATGTAAACATTATTTAAAATACTTAAGCCAAAAGAGTCAACTTAATTTTAAAAAACACATAAGCCAGACATGGTGGCTCATATCTGTGCACCCAACACTTGGGGAGACTGAGGCAGGAAGACTGCTTGAGCTTAGGAGTTTAAGGCCAGCCTGGGCAACATAGTTACACCCCATTTAAAAAAAAATAGCTAGTCATGGTAGCACACGTCTATAGTCTCAGTTACTCAGGAGGCTAAAGTCACTTGAGCCCAGGAGGTCAAAGTCATGATTGCGCTACTGCTCTCCAGCCTGGGCAACCAAGCAAGACTCTGTCTCAAAAAAAACAAACAACAAGAACAAAATATACACATACATATATATATGTAGGTATTTATGTTTTATATATATAAATATATATAATTTAAAAACATCTGGATTTTATGTAAATATGTGATTGAATATAACTGGCAAAGACAAGACAACATAACATGCAGTGTTAGTACACAGTAAAAGCTCACATGAAAGCAATTTAACCCATCTTGTATCAAAGTACACTGATGTATTGAAGTAGCATTTTCTGGCAAGAAGAGAGTCAGAGAAGAGAAGAAGAATGGCTTCTGACTGTGACTTCTGGTGTTTATATATTTTTTCTTCCTAAAAAGTATTCATAGCAGTTTGTTTTTTTTCTTTGCCTCCTAGAATAAGATCTTAGCTGATCATGTGAATTTCTGAACCTGTTTAAAAGTCAGAACCTGCAAATGAAAACAAAGCTATTTTTGTAAGTCTGGCATTCTAAACGAGTGCATTCTGCCCCAGCTGGATTAATGTATATGTGAACTTCAGAGATATGTTGAGACCTCTTCCACGCAGTCTAGATTCCAATGCAGCAGTTACAGAGCAACTATATGACATGGGAGGCAATGTGTCAGGCATTTTCATATGTTGCACTTTAGATGTGAATTCTTTCACACTGACATTCATGCAGAAGTTGAAAGAATAATATATTCCTGACCACTTAAACACTTCTGTTAAAAACCACCAGTACTATTCATTTCTAATTATGACCTTGGAAGACAGTTTTCTAAATAATACATTTCAATATTAACAGAAACCATCTATACAGCCTGATTCTGATTTAACTAACTCATTATACCTAATACTAAGGAATAGTCTTTTTGCAAGCCTTAAGATTCTTTTCCTATACTTTTACAAGATGCAGACTGATGCTACCTTTATTGTGAACTTAGGCAAGTTGTTTAGCTTTTATGAGACTCTATTTTCTTAGCTGTAGAGTGGAGATAAATACATGCAACACAAGGTTGCTGTAACAATTAAGTAATATATGCAAATTATAGTACATTACAGGCGTTAAAAAAGAGGAGGTGAATGAGACTTTCATATCTGTTGTGAACAATTGTCATACTGATAGCAAATTTAATTATATTACTCATCAAACTGAGAACCTTCGATGGTTGCCAATTGGCACAAAAAAGTTGAAACTCCTCAATATCTCAAACCCAGCACAACATATTTACTGCAACTTACTTTTTCTAGCTTTACCATTCACCTTCTGCATCAGCATATAAATTCTTCATTCTACTCTCCGAGAATGTGCCTCAAACCAGCCATGGCCTTTCGAACCTCAGTGTTTTCACACATACCAATTCTTACCTAGGATGCCACCATCTACCCTCCCACGTCTCTGTGATAAACTCTGACTTAAACTTCACAGCCCAATTCAAATACTATCCCTGCTGCAAGTTTTCTCCAGTTCCCCAAAATTTACTGAAATGTTCTCTCTTTGCTCAAAAAGCACTTTTACTTACCTAAACGATTGCACTTACTCTGTACAGTCCTTATATTTACATATCTGCTTTACCCTGACCTTGCATTAAGATATAATAAATCAGCATTAAGATATAATAAATCAGCAACTCCCAAACTAGGGGCAATGATTTTCTTAATGGACCAGAATCACTGATTCTTTCATTTACCCAGAGCTAGAACTCTGTCCTTTTCATGATTGGTTCCCTGGCACAGTGCTAGGTACCTAGTAAGTCCACAATAGGTTAAAGGGAGCCAAGAAACAGTCTGAGGAAATTAGGGTAGCTATGACAGAAATAATAATGGCAAAGGAATAAAGAGAGTGACACTGCAAAATGAACCATTTTGGCTGCTACTTCTTCAGCTCCCACCAGTGGGACTGGTTTCTTCATAGTCTGCCATCCAGAGGCCTGATCTTGCTATTTATCTAAAAGCCTTGGCCCAGGTTCCAGTGCTATGCTCAGCATAAAAATAGATCTCCTCTGAAAGTTAAATGTGTCCTACTTCAATCATTGGTGAACAATTACTAGCCATTAGCATCTATAACCATGTGATCTTTTCCTCACCTATAGGGCTTGACAAAAGAAGTCCTGAATTTATCAAATTTAAGATGCCACTAATTGTAAGAAATCATTACTTTATGTAGCATTGAGAGGAAAAATAGCCACCAATTACATGACGACATTGACTGTGAGACCTCTAATTTCAGAGGGAGAAGAGGAAATATTACATATACACACACACTCAGGAATATATTACATACCTATATACACATGATTTATATATATATATATGTGTGTGCATGCATAACTTACATGTATATGTTTTAGTGTATGTCTTAGGACCAAATAAAAAATACATAAAATATATGATCAGATTTTAAGTGAGGCTTTTGATTTATCTGCTTTCCCTATGTTACCAACAACAAAAGAAAGAAATAAAAATAAACATTTGAGAATTTTAAAGTGTTGTCAAAAATCTGACACACTTTAAAGGTCCAGGAAGGAAGTACCTTGGTGTGGAGCCCAAATGGTGTCAGTGGAAGGGTAAATAGGCAGATCAGTAATCTTCAGAAATGTGACAGAATGACTATGGGACCATTCATCCATAAATATAAATTGAGCAAGTATGTATGTGTCAGGCACCACACTGGGGACTAACAATAATATTGTGAATAAAATTGGATCGCATCCTTAAGAAACATACTGTCTTGTGGTTCAGGAAGATTTGATTAAACAATCATAAATATATCATTACAACTGAGATAGGTGACAAAAAGGAAAGGAATGGAATTTAGAGGCACATATAGAAAAAATGAAACTTAGCTTAGACTGGGGGAAAAGCAGGGAACACAATCCTTAGGCAGTAGTCTTTGAATTGATATCTGGAAATAATGGGGGAAAGAAAATGGAGTGCTGTTTCCAGACTAAGGGAACAGCATATGAGATGAAAAAAAAAAAAAAAGGCCCCTTCTAGGAACTGAGAAAATGCTGCTCTGGAAGCATAGGGATGGAGAGTCAGAGAAGGAGAGGGCAGAAGCCACACTCCATAGAACCTTGTAGGCAACCAAGTATTAGTAATATGGGTTGGGAGGGAAATAGGTATGGTGCATAAGAACAAATGATGCTACTGAGAGGGCTGATAAAAACTGATGACAGTTTAAGCTCCAACGATGAGAATGAAGATCAAAAAACTGATGAGTTCAAGAGATATTTAGAGAGTAAAAAAGTCAACAATACATGCTAATGATTTAAGTAGTGTTATGGGAGTGGAAATAGGAAGCTGTTAAATTTTCTGACTTTGTGCAGCTGGAAGCTGTCATTCACCAAGACTAGGTAAACTGGAAGAGACTCTGTTTGGGAGGAGATAAGCAGAATACAGTGTGATGTGAATGTTATGAGTTCTGCTTCAGAAATGTTGAGTTTGAGATGCCTTTAAGAGATCCAAGTAAAAATGTTGTTCAGGGAATTGAATGTTGGTATGAAGCTTAAAGGAGTGTCCAAGTCAGAAAAAGGGTCAAACATTGACCCCAGACGGATATGGGACTAGCTGACAGGATGAAAGGGCCTTGGAGTTCTCTTATTTCCTTAACTTAGCAACTAATATAGTTGTTTTCAATTTATAGGATGCCTCTAGCTCTTAGAGCTGAGGGAATCTTGGTTCTACTTGAACTGGAAAGATGTATTCATAATATCCCATATTTGAACTATGGATATGTTTTTCAAAGAACATAGTATTTTGCATAGTCCAGTATTTTATTCTCATATTTTCCAGGAGGAAAACATTTAGGGTGGGTGGTGGCAAACCATGAATAATTAAAGAAAGTTCCTTCTGAGTGCCAATAACTCCCTTACGGTTAGAGGTATTTGAAAACATAAATAAAATATGATCTTGCTATAAGCTTGATATTGCCTATATTGTTAATTCTGAAACATTATAATGTTAAAACAAAATCACAGAAAGTTAAAGCATTCACATGCATTTAAAAAATATTAACAATTAGTTCAACAACTACATTAGGATAACCTTATGAGTTTGTGTTTCCTATTCTACAAATTCTACTATGTAGAAATTTTGTGCAGAAAATTCTACTATGTAGAAATTTTGTGCAGACTAGAAATTTATTAACATGTTAAAACAGTATTTAGAATACAGTAAAGGTGTTATTAATACATTGTTTTGAAATAAAGTTATATCAATTTTGTATCTGAAGAATAAATATGCATATGCATAGAGTGCTCCATCTTTAGAAAATATTTTAAAATAATGTAAGCACTAGAAAATTACTTCTTCTTCTTGTACACATTTTTTTATTTTTTAGAGACACTCTATTGGCCAGGCTGGGGTGTAGTGATGTAATCATAGCTCACTGAAACCTGCAACTCCTGGGCTCAAGGGGTCCTCCTGCCCTGGCTTCCAAAAGTACTGGGATTACAGGAATGAGCCATCATCCCTGGTACTCCTCTCTTAAACTTTTTTCTATCTTCCCTATTTCCTTTTGTCAATCTTAAGACCAGCTACGGAGAACATTAATAGCCCTGTGCTGCCCTCTAGTGGTAAGTAGAGGATATAGTCAATTAGAAGATTTTGCCTTTTAATACTTCTTTCAATGACATTCTAATAAAAAGTAGATATCATAAGAAAAATTTCTTAATCTGCTATCACCGACAGAAGATAAAGAGCTATTTAGCACCACAGCTATCAATTTATTACTCTAACTCCAAATATTTTTCATGGTAATAAAGAAGTACGAATTGATGTTTGTCTTAAAAGCAAATTCTTAGGCCGGGCTCAGTGGCTCAGTCCTGTAATCCCAGCACTTTGGGAGGCTGAGGTGGGCAGATCACCTGAGGTCGGGAGTTCGAGACCAGCCTGGCCAACATGGTGAAACCCCATCTCTACTAAAAATACAAAAATTAGCTAGGAGTTTTGGCACGCGTCTGTAATCCCAGCTACTCAGGAAGCAGAGGTGGGAGAATTGCTTGAACCTGGGAGACGGAGGTTGCAGTGAGCAGAGATGGTGCCACTGCACTCCAGCCTGGATGATAGAGCAAGAGCCTGTCTCAAAATTTATATATACACACACACACACACACACACACACACACACATATACATATATGTATAATTTATAATATATTATTTAGTAATTTCAATATAATGGTATAATTTTTGGCAATTAAATTTAAATTGTTAAGAACATTTTTAAAAGCTAAATTTAAACAAATTCAAACCAACAGAAAAATGAATTTTTTCTTCTAGGAATTGAGGCATTACCTTAGTGTTAAAGCTGGGTGTGTGTGTGTGTGTTTGTGTGTGTGTGTTCAATACAGCTAGGGCATTTCTTAAACTACACTTAATATGATGCAGTAATAGATCAAGGTACCTAACAAGTGATAAGAATTTGCTTTTTTTTTTTTTTTTTGGAGACAAGAGTCTCACTCTGTTGCCCAGGTTAGAGTGTAGTGGTACGATCACGCCTCACTGCAACCTTGATCTTCGGGGCCCAAGCAATACTCAGCCTCCAAGCAGCCGGACTACAAGGCAAGTAGCTGGACTACAAGCATGTACCACCAAACCTGGCTGATTTTTAAAAAAATTTTAATAGCGTTCAAGTCTCACTGTGTTGCCCAGGCTGTTGTTCTCAAATTCCTGAGCTCAAGAAATCTTCCTGTCTCTGCCTCCCCAAAGCTGAGATTACAGGCATGAGCCACCATGCCTGGCCTATATAACACTTAGAACTTAGAAGGTATATTTAGAAGATGCCTTATTATCTGAACAAGCCCGAAACACTTGAAATTACTACAACTATTTTGGAAGTTACTTTTCAAATGGAATTTTTCCCTAATAAGACAAAAAAATCCAGTTGAAAAGATAACTGCTTACTTAACAAGTGTTTGCAGTGGTGGGAGAGAAATACGGGTGGTGGGTAAAAGTAATAGAACTATTTATTTAACCAAATAAGAACAAAATAGTAAGAGGATCCTTTCTCATGCTGTATAGCTTGATATTTACAGATATTTTATTAATTTTATTAATTCTTAACATAATTTTATTAAATTCTTTATATTTGATATCTCTCCAAATCAAATGGAAGCAATTTTCAGAAAAATGACACATAATCACTTTAGTAAAACCGAAATAGCAAGTGAGACCCAAGAAGAATGAGAATTCAAATATAGTAACCAGTTTGTTAAATTGCTGGGGTTGTGCTTCAAATTTGGGTCTGAGCTTCCTACCAGCCAAAGTGAAAGGGAGCTCATTATATAACATATTTTTTACTTTGAAGAGGAGAGTAAGACTTTCTAATTCCTAAAAATAGATATTTTCTGGTTTTAAGTCTAAATCTAATTTCAATGGGGATTCTAATTTAAGTCTAAATCTAATTTCTCATGTGGGCAGCTAATGAGTGGTAAAACTCATTAGCTCAATAAGAACTGCGAATTCAGAATTTAGTAGATTTTGTTTGCTGTTTTTGTTTTGTTTTGCATTTAGTAGAGGCTAAATTAATGTAGTTCAAGTTCTACTGATCCAACTTAATAAAAACTCAAAGTAGTAGAAAGACAATATTTCATCAAATATAATTTCTCTCAACCAGAAACAGGATAAAAGTGAACAGCAAATAATTTTAAAATAATAATCTTATTTTACAGTCAGAAATATATATTATTTTCATATAAGAAGATCCTAATTATCTCTTAGTTTAAAGCTCCTTGAGAGCCATAGTCTTATCTTCTAGTTCCTTGGTATTTTTCACTTAGGTTTGATCACAGTGGATATAAATTCACTAATAAAGTAGAAAAAATGAACTTCACCACTGGTGGGTCGTTTTGGTTTGTATTTTTGGTGGACAGGGGGTGTATTTTTACCTTGTAGCAGTCTCCTCCAGGAATAATTTCCTGAATATATACCAACGGGCCTTCATTCCGGTTAATTCCTCCTACTATCTTCAGGCCAAGGCCTGTTTCCTTGTTAATTGTAATCATCTGAAAGGCAGGATCCCTAAAATAAATTAGCACACACAGGTTAGTGTAGAGATCTGTACCTATTTTTTTCTTTAAACTACTTATTAAATCAAATTCTTAGATCTAGACCAGTGGCCCCTAACCTTTTTGGCACCAGGGACTTGTTTAGTGTAAGACAATTTTTCCACAGCTGGTGGGGTGGGTGTAGGGGCGCAGATGAGGGATGGTTTCGGGATGATTCAAGTGCATTACATTTATTGTGCACTTTATTATTACATTGTAATATATAATAATTATACAACTCACAACAATGTAGAATCAGGGGGAGCCCTGAGCTTGTGTTCCTGCAACTAGATAGTCCCATCTGGGGGTGAGAGTGACAGATCATCAGCCATTAGATTCTGATAAGAAGCAGCAACCTAGATCCCTCATATGCACAGTTCACAATGGGTTCATGCTCCTATGAGAATCTAATGCCACCAATGATCTGACAGGAGGATGATCTCAGGCTGTAATTCTCACTTGCCCTACGCTCACCTCCTACTGTGTGGCCTGGTTCCTAACGGACTAAGGACCACTACCAGTCTGAGGCCCAGGGGTTGAGGACCCCTGACCTACACAATCCAAAATACTTAGTACTTACTAGCAATGATATTTTTTAAAGTATGGTGACGTAATAACAATTAAATGAATTTTCTTGCCTGTACTTACAATCTTCTCTACAAAACAACCAAAACACAAATGAATTTACAATGATAATCTTATTTCTTTGAAGTAGAACAAAAATTTATTAAACATACTGAAAAGATTTGTTTTTACCTGATTATTAGACTACTTGAAGAATTCCAATACTAAATATTTTAATGAATTAGGTAAGTAGCTTTAAAAGACATGTCTGTGGCCATTTAAAACAAAATAAATATGACTTCCATTTGAGTCTCAAATAAAATTTATCTTTTTAATTTAGAAAGAGTATTTTCTTGGTACAAAGTACTTGTTTCAACTGTAATTTCTGCCAGACAAAACAAAGCCATTTGAAAAGAAGGGACTGTCAAAAAAATCCTGCAAAAGTCATTGGATTCAAGTCGCACTTCTGAATATCCTGGTCAGAGCAGAGATTTTACCGGTCAAACAAAACTGGAATTAAATTTGAAATAAGACTTAGGAGCTGCATGTTTACTTATTATGTACTGGGTACTGTCCTAAACAGTGCCTAAATAATGACATTTAATTTAATATTTACAAAATCCTTAATATTCTTAACCTTATTATTCTAAACCATCCAAAATTCAGGTAGGTTAATTTGGTGGCCCAAGTGTGAGGCCAGTCAGTCTTACTTCAGAGGCAAAATGTGATATGTATTCTATTTTGTTGTTGTATTAGTCATTGTTGAACATAGGACTTTCAGCTATCTTCAAACACATTGAATAACTGAAACTACTATTAAAAAAAGAGTTACTTCATATCTTACATGATTATAGCTTTTAGGAAAAGTCTTCTTAGCTTCTGCCATAGAAATTCTAAGAATATCATTAAGAATACTATTGCATTCAAAAAAAATAATTTCTAAAAATAAAGAAATTTTTAAAAACATATAAAACTCCCTGTTTTTGAATATTTTGCTTTCCATATATAACATCATTTAGAGCTGCATTACAGGTATACTGAATTCAGCTCTAATTTGGAAAGGCCTATCTGGTTTCTCGGGCAACAATCAGTTAGAAAAATGGCAGAGAGCACAGGGTCCAAGGGTCCAAAATGCTCTACTCATGTGGATTTCTGTACCTTAAATCCATTCTTTCTTCTTTTTGTTGTTTTTTTGTTTTTTTTTTTTGAGACAGGGTCTTGCTCTGTCCCATCTGGAGTGCAGTGGCATGATCTCAGCTTACTGTAACCTCCGCCTCCCAAGTTAAGTGATTCTCCTACCACAGCCTCCTGAGTAGCTGGGATTACAGGTATATGCCACCAGGCCCAGCTAATTTTTTTTTTTTTTTGGTAGACACAGGATTTTACCATGTTGGCAAGTCTGGTCTTGAACTCCTGACCTGAAGTGATCCACCCGCCCTGGCCTCCTAAAGTGCTGGGATTACAGGCATGAGCCACCGAGCCTGGCCAATAAACCCATTCTTTATGGGACAGTAGATTGCAAAAACAAACGAGTAAAGCCTAGAAATCAAAGAGAAGGTAAGAAAGGGAAGTAAGGTACCTCATTAGATCTCTCCACTAACTCTTACATCCTCCAAATGTGAATGCCCTTCACTAGGAGCACAAACAATCTCCAGCATGTATTATTGCTTCAGTACAGAAGCACTTTTCTAATCCCAACAAAGTGTTATTAACATAGCAGTTTATTGCTTCTAATATTTTTTCCTATATAAATCCATCCATATATTTTCTGAATTGATATTCATATATTTTCTGAATTGCTATCGTACTACTTAAACAGTTTTAGAACCTGTTTTATTATTGTAAGCAATGTCTATGTTGTTAAAAGTTCTTCTTAAAAATAAATTTATATGTTCATGGCAGCATAAAATTTACATACACAGCTCGGACTTTAAGACTCTCCTATTGTTAAAAATTTAGATTACCTACTCTTTTTCCCTATTACATATTAAAAATATTTCTGATCAACTTTATTCATAATAAGAGAATTACAAGTTAAAACTATGTAGAGGTACTACTACTCACCTACCAGATCAATAAAAATTTAAAACTTTAACAACATACCCTGATGACAAAGCTGTGGGAAAAGAGGCATTTTTTGCATACTGCTGGTGGGAATGCAAAATGGTACAACTTCTAAAGAGAGAAATTGGTAACCTCTAACAAAAATGACCCTCTGATCCAGCGATTCCATTTCTAGAAATCTATCTCAAAGATACTCTGGCAAAAAATAGAAAATGACTTATATACTAGGTTATTCATTTTGACATAATTTGTATTCACCAAAAATTGCAAACAATACAAATGCCCATCCATAAGGTACTGGCTTGAATAAACTATGGTACATCCACACCATAGAATATTATGCAGTTATAACAAAAAACAAGGAAGATCTTTATAAACTGATATGAAGGGATCACCAGGATATATGTTAAAACAAAAAGGCAAGGTGAAAACAATATAAATGATACCTTTTAAGAATATTCCGGGGAGTAGAATCCAAATATATTTAATTATTATGTGTACATATATTATATGTGGGTGTGGGTGTGTGTATATATATATATATATATGTATGTATGTATATATATATATACATATATATGTGTGTATATATATATATGTATATATATATATATGTATGTATATATATACATATGCATTTGCTTAAGCAGAAAGAACTACAAAAGGACCAAGAATAAAAACAACTTTTTACAGACGGAATGAGGGCACAGAGTGAAGACTAGAATAAGAGCAAGATTTTTTTGAATATACCTTGTTAAACCTATGTTTTATGTTTGCAAAATTCCTCCCATTCCTGTCTACGTGCATCTTGGTAATGTGACTTTACTGCTTCTTTTCATTAAAAGGAAAGTGTATATCTCCACTCCTTGAATTTTTATTTGTCTATTTAAATTGCTTTGGCCAATGGGATACCAGCAAATGTGAGAAAAATGGATGTTTAGAAAACACCTGTGCTTCTGCCACCATGTCAAAGCTTGAGCTAGCCCCCTGCAGAATGAGAGACCAGTTCAAAAGAGACCTCAGCCATCCAGCCTTCCTAGCTGAGGCCTCACAAGATGTAAATTAGGCCATCCTACATTATCTGGCATAGAGCAGAGCTGCTCAGCCAACCCACTGAATCATGAGAAAGAATAAATTCTTACTGTTTTAAGGGACTTTAGGGTTGTTTGTTGGTCAGCAAGAGCTAATCTTATATTATGAATTTTGTTTCTGGAATTATAAAATATTCTAGATATTAAAAAGCCAAAATTTAAAAAATACAGATTTTGTCCCATACATTGATTTACACTGAAAGGTAATTCAATGTATTACTTTACTCACTACTCATTATTGCTATTCTAGACCACATTAGACAGCTAGATTTAAAAAAAAACTTTTAATCAAATGTTCATTAACAGTCTACATATTTCCAACTATATTTCAAAACATATTAAATTTAAAAATTACTTTTCAAGTAGACTGGGTGATATGACAGTAGATGTATTTTTATTCATGCTTTCACCAAAGTAGCCTTGGATTTAACAGCTGTATAAATGAAGATCTTGATGAAGAGTCTAGAAATTCTTCTTTTCCTAGGATTAGAGAAGTAGAAAATAAATTGTCAGGTCTTAGAACTGTCGAATTTGATTCCAACTGTTCATAAAAACATTATATATACTTAGCACATAAATAATATAAGCCTATGTATAGATGTTAGATGTATGTATTTTGAGTATGGCATTTTAGTCATTGATGATTACATCTAAGAAATGTAAAGACAGCTCATTAGGTCTATGTCTATATCATATGAATATCCCTATCTATATAAAATCTTCATTCTCTGGCAAAAATGAAGAATATAGCTAAGCTTTATGTAACTATTATAACTTCGACCCTTGGTAAACTTAAAAATCACATCATAATTAAAGATTGTGGAAAATGTCTCCTGTGAGCACAAGGCTATGAAGCTTATAGTCAGAAAAATAATTATCCAGTGTATTTGAAAAAAAACTAAATTCTTATTACCTTACCAACTATCTTGAGGTATTTTCTGCAGATCCTATATTACTCTAATTTATTCCAGGAATTTCTTAAATGCTTTCCTGTGAAGAGAAAAAAATATGCTTTTAATGTCTTACATAGTTCCACTGTGAAAATTACAGAGAACAGTGTGCAGTTTCATTTAATTAAAACAAACGGTATTTGAACAGAGATTTACCACCTTTTCATAAGAAAAATGAATGAAGCAAAGGAACTTAAAGTTGAAAGTGATACTAGGATCATTTAGTACAACTCTCTCTCTCTGCAGAAATGAGGAGCTAGATTCAGAGATTTTGTGCTTTTCCCTCACAAATAAGAAATAGTGTTTTGTTTTTTGTTTTTTTTTCTTCTCCTAACCAGAACTCAGGCTTTGTAGCCTACTGAATGGACCTTGAGATCTCATAGGCCTGGGTTCCCACGTGAACTTTTGGGCTTCTCCAAGCCTCGGCTTCTACAGGTACAGTAGGTACCTTGTTTGTGGTGATGATTTCACAAATGGATACACATGTTAAATGTAACACATTGTCTCACTTTAAATATCTGCTGTTTGTTTTAAATCAGTTATAGCTTAATAATCTTGAACTTTTAAAAAACCTGATTTCAGTTAAAAATGGCATCTCGATCTTAGCACATATCTCCTTTCCCTCCCAAGAGCCAAGTATATGAGACTATTAAAGAGCTACAAACAGTATAAACTTAGAATATTGAAAAGATGGGAAAAGAGCCATCAGATGAAGATTTTGAACTAGTTTCTGGAAGATAAATAGATGGTTGGGTGATAATTGGTAAAAGAGTGCTAAAGAAGCTGAAATTTAGGGCAGTACTTCTTAAACATTTTTAAGTTTGAGCACACAAATAATGGTAATCTTTAGCTTAGTATACTAAGCTAAAGAAAGGTGACATCCTCTGAGAAGCTGAGGAGAATCAATATATCAGCACACGAGCAACTGACTCAAAACAAAATTCTGGACTAGGAAACAGGTGCAGAAGGAATGTGTCTTAAAGAAGCCCAGAGAAACTAGGACTCAGGAACAAAAAGTTCTAGGGAGAACAAAACTGAGAGATTGAGGACTAAAATCAAGAGGATCATCCTATCTTTTCTCCAACCATTGTATAGAGAAGAAATCATAGATTCTTCTGTAAATGAACTGAGTGGACCCCAAACAGAGAGCCAATCACCTTTGAGAGCCTAACATAGAGACATATTCACTGGTCTCGGTGGTAAAAACATTTCAACTTTCACAGCCTCTGTAGTAGCGACAGGAACAGTGGAAGCATGCAGATCAACAGCAGCCAGAGAAATGAAGCTACCAAGCAACAATGTCAGTAGCAAAAGTCCAATGACCATGAAGCAAGAAAGTTACTCAGTATCCCATGAGGAAAAGAAGGGCCACTTGAGGGAGGAGCTTAAAATTCTTGGGCTTTGCATGGTAGTCCCTCAGAGTGAAGAGCCACTGCAGCTGTCCACGAGACTGATGTAGTCATGGATGAGAGTTCAATTCTAAAACTAAGTTTGCATAAGTTCATTATACATTGCTTTAATAATACATGCATGGAGCAGATTCTCAAACCTCAAGAGAGGTCATTCTCATATAACAATAATAGTAGTAACTACCATTAATTGGCACTATGTTTCACATACAATGTATTCCAAATATATTTATTTAATATTGTGGAAAATGTAGGAGACATAAGAAAAAAGAAGAAATACAGAATTCAAATGCTAATACTGCCATGTTCTAGTAATATGGCATTAGAAAAATTGCCTAAGCTCTTAGCATCTCCTCGTATTAAGGTAGGGATAGTAACAACTTGCTCAAAGGCAGATGTGAATAATTGAGCAGTCTTTCTACTGGTATCAAAGTGAGTAAGATCCTCATCTTTGGTGAGTTGTTTTAACTGGACACAGGGTCCCTAGGCCTCCTGGAAACATACCCAAGTCTAATGATGTATAAATGCTACTTTACAATAGATTCCATATAATATACTTAACAAGACATTTTAAAAATTTCTATTTCGAGGTATAAAATAAAATTTAGGTGTGTATTCCATTCATTTAGCATGCTGGCAGTGTCCTAAGTGCTGGAGATGAGATCAGGAGGGGGTGAAGTGCTCTGACAGCGGAATGCACAGGGAGTATGGAGAAAGGCTGCCTAACCTGGGATCTAGGTCATCATTAAACAGCAATATAGCCAGGCACCATGTTACAGGATTTTCTTCCCATAGGAGCCCCACAAGGGAGGTATTTTTAAACCAATTTTAAATGAAAGAAAAATAAGTCATAGAGAAAGTATGTGACTTGTCCATTGTCACAGGCTAGTTGTAAATTAGAATTTGAATCCTGCTCTTTCTTGCTCCAAACCCAAGTTGTTTCTACTATAGTATGCTGAAAAATTAATTTAGGTAAAAAGCTTGATTAACCAAAAAAGTAGAATGAGAGAGTAAGAGTAGTAGTGTGTTATCTCTTCTGTATAAAGATGGCACTATTGATTAAATAGAAGTGGGTTTAATCCTAAGCAGGCTTGTTTTTTATATTAACAAGGTATTCATTGTCATGTCCTTAAATATCATAAAATGCCTGTCATTTCCCTCTCCTTTGCCTGTTTCCTACTCTCTTTATACAAGCTGGCAAGGCTCTCAACCAACAAGGATTCTAGTAATGTTACATACACATACTTCACACACTCACTCACACACATACACGCACACACACACCACCCCCAAGTTCCTATAATTAATGAATAACACAGAAAGAAAACATTCTGTTCTTTTACTAAAAATATTCACATTCAAGACAAATATATTGTTTTTCTAGTTTGGTGAATCATAAGAGGGAAACAGATCAGCAAAAACAGAAAAAGTGGAACACTGGAGGAAAAAAAATCTTGTTGTGTAAGATGAATCTATTCCAGAAAACTTAAATTAGAGCTTTTCTTTGATAGTCTGTTTACTTATGATCTCATTAAAACAATTTTCATCCAATATAATTAGAAATTTCATCAGATTAAAAAAAAAAAAACTGCCCATGTGCATATGGTGTTTGAGTAAGACTTAGTAATTTATATTATCAGACATGACATTCAATCAAACCAGTTCTTTCCATTGGACAAAAAATAGAGAAAATTAAAGGGATAAAATATCTTCTGCCAGAATTATAGTAAATATTAATTTAATAAAATTATAAAAATGCCATAATGAAATTGATAGAAATGGCCAAATTTCCCTCAGTCAGGGTTGTACTAATTTATTATCCCACCAATAATAATGCCTGCTACTCTAAATTTTCTCCAGTATGGCATACTAAATAACTTCTGGATTTTTGCCAGTTTTGATAAAAATGATATCTCAAAGTAGTTGGAGTGAGGCTGGAGTTTTTTATGCTTTAAAAACCATTCAGTATCTCCTTTTATGTGAACTGTGTTTTTTACATCTTTTGCCAGTTCTTCTATTCACCATTAGGCTTTTTTCTGTTCAATTTCTAGTTCTTAAATCTTAACAGAAATTATCTCTTAATCAGCACTAAGAATTGCAAATATATTTCTTCCCCATTTCTTCGGGGTTATGGGCTTTTTGTTATGCAAAAGTTTGTGGCTAACTTTATGAATCTTTTATGATTTCCAGGTTTTAGGTAAAATTAGAAACTCCTTGCTCACTCCAAAGTTATAAAGATTTCTCTCATATTTTCTTCTAGTATTTTTATGATTTCATTTTTAAACATTTGATCCAATTGGAGTCCATTGTAATATAAAGTACAGATCCAACTCATATTTTTCCCAAGAAGATCACCCCATTGTCTCAACCACATTTAATAAATAATCCATCTTTTCTCCATTTTGAGATATGACTTTCATCATATACCAAATCTCATAAGTGTTTGGGTCTACTTCTGTAATTTTTATTCTGGCCTTTGGTTAGTTTGTTTATTCATACACCAATGCCATTCTATTTTAATTAGAGAGGTACTATCATAACTGGTGAGAACAATCACCTCTCATTTGTTCTTCTGTTAACCAAGCTTCCTTGGTTGTTTATTGTTACATATTAAATTCAAAATATTATTATCTTGTTTAAAAAATAAAACAATGCTATTTGTTAGGGAATTGCACTAAATTTACAAATTAATTGAAGAAGTATTGGTATTTATGATGTTATTTTGAGTCTTCCTATCCAAGAATTTGGTATCACTATTTGTTCAAATCTTCTTTCATGACCTTCTATAGTAGAAGTGGTCAATCTTTTGGCTTTCCTAGGCCTCAGTGAAGAAGAATTGTCTTAGGCCACACATAAAATACACTAAACACTAACGACAGTTGATGAGGAAAAAAAAAAGCAAAAAAACTCATAATGTTTTAAGAAAGTTTACGAATTTGTTTTGGAACACATTTAAAGCTGTCCTGGGCCACATGCAGCCCATGGGCGACAGGTGGGACAAGCTCGTTCTATAGTGTTTTAAAGTTGCCTTCACAGTGACCTTGTAGGCAGGAGACTAGGATCTGGAGGCAGGGAATCTAAGGTTGATTTGTGCTGACTTCCTAGAACTGAATCAAAAGGAAAACCCTACCTCTCCACAATAGGATCAGAGAGTACTCCTTTGGCGCTGCATGGCAGATGAAAAATGGAAAGTACTTCTCATTGATCGAAGGCCACTCTTTCATTTACATAAGGTATAACCAAGCAAACAATGTTAAACCTCTAGAGGAAATTTAAACTCCAGAAAATTCTGTAACCAGTGCTCTTGAGCCACTTGTTCCAGTCTAATCCCACTCTGTGGAGAGTACTTTCCTTTCAGTAAATCTATACTTTGTTTCCTTTTTTCATTGCTTTGTTTGTGCATTTTGTCTAATTCTTTGTTTAAAACACCAAGAACCTGGATGACTGGTAGTCAAGACCCTGCACTGGTAACACTTGCACATTTCTTATTTAGTTAATTCCAATGTATTTTTTTATTGTTAATTTAATGCCTTTTAAAACTCCACTATTTTGTAAATACAAAAAATGTTTTGGGAAAGCTTTACTTGTATTATCTTCTAGAAAATAATTTCCCTCCCACCACACATTCTGA